GCCGACACCCGGGTCCCCAACACTGCCGTTCATCTCGGACCTTGCGCGAGGGAGAGGAAGAGAGGTCACTGTGGCGGCCCGCCGCACAAGGCCTCCATACCGCCTTCCCCCAGCCCGTCTCTCCTAACTCAGTCGCTGCTGGAAGGAGACGCTAAGGAGCAAGGAAGTCCGTGTGGGAGAAGATGAGGACTGAGCTGAGCCAGTCCGTCCCGAGGATGGAGAACAGGGGATGGATTCCAGAGTCACTTGAAGTACAGTGGGCTTGCTGACAAGCTGCAGGAAATGAGGAAGACGAGGAGTCCCAGATAGCTTGGAAATTTCCAACCTTGGTGACTGAGAGGGTGGCAGTGCCACCCCGCGCAGATGGAAGATGGTTCAGATATGTGGAGGCACAGGCAGGTGCGGCAAACCGGAGCAAGGCTGAGCCGACAGGGAGTTCTGGAGAAACCAGACGGGAATATAGAGTTCTTCCCAGAAAAGGCCCAATCCCCCCTCCTCCACATACTGTGATGAACAAACAGCCTTATGATGTAGTGACCCTGAGGACAGGCCCGTGCATAGTGACCTTGGACTTCCCTTAATGAAGGTCCTCCCCGGGTTTGCCTGGAGCCCCTGGGGTAAGGCTGAAAACGGTTTCCAACTCTCAGGCTTTCCAGCCAGTTTCCTTCCCCTAACCCCTTGACCACAAAGAAGTCCTGGGTCTGCTTCAGAACTTTGGCCAGCAAAGCAAAAAAGAGTACAGGCCCAGGAATCAGGCAAGTTCTAGAGACACACATTTATTTGTCACGTGACCTTGGGCAAATTACCCCACTTCACTGAGCTGGTCTTTCTCTGCCATAAAATGGAGACTAAGATACCTACCTCTCAGTGTTGTTGGGAGGATTATGAGAAAACATAAGTAAAACTCTGAGCGCTGTGGCTGACACTGGGGAGACACTCCAGAACCATTAGCTCCCTTCCCTCCAGGCAGCACACAGATGAATGTGTACACCACCCACGCAGGCACCCTGAGCAAACAAAACAACATAGACATCTGGGCGTGTTCCACTTTTCTCCCCAAGGGGGTCAGTGCACAAGCCCGTGTCCTGTTCCTATTTCTGGCACAATCACCCTCCTAGGGTGTCCCAAAATTCAGTTCCTCCAATACCAAAATTTGTATTTCTGCCTTTGCGCCCCTCTGGCTGCAATCCTTTCTGGGATCCTGAGTGGAATGTCTTCTCCCCTCCCACTCAGCTCTGTCCACCTTTGGCTCTAGCCCCCAACCGCCCACCCAGAACCTCTCCCTGCCATCCCTCCAGGTCTTTCCTCTCTTACCTCTTGCCGTTCTGGCTGCTGCAGCAATCTCTGGGGCCCTAGGGGGCCTGCCTGGCTTTAAGGAGCTGAGACAGAACAGAATCCACTCCCACGCCCACATGTCAGATCCTCCCGTCAACCCACTAATCCCAGGACACCACATGAAGAATGGGCCCAACAGCTGGAGGGCCTGGGGCCCACCTGTGGCAGCTATAAGCTGGGTTTGTGGGTTCGGCCAGGGCCCCAAGAGAAGGGAGCATCTTTGAAGGCAAGGGGGCACAGAGAGGGAGATAGAAAAGTAAAAGTAAGGCTTTGCAGCTGAATGTCATGGTATTGACCTGACCAAGGTTCAGGGTACGGTTTGGGGGGACACATATCCTGAAGCCTGGCTTCTCCTTGGGCCAAGGAGGTACTGCTGGAGCTCAAGATACTCCTGCTGCTGTCAATCTCAACTGCTCCACACCAGCTGCCCAGCCCACTCTTCCAGCACCCTGCCTTTCCCACAGCTGCTAGGTGGGCCCTACAGCCGAGCTTGGGGGCCCTATAGCTGCTAATGAGCTTGCAGGCCAGGCCGTGGTAAACAGGAGCCCTCAGTCCAATGCCAGCTGTGAGAGGTTTTACTCAAAGTCCCGGCTGGAGACGGGCTGGCTGTCACATCCTGGAAGGGGTGGAGATGGTAAGAGGCCAGGATCCTAGGGGCTCCAGGTCCTATTTTTATGGGCTTCAAAATGTTCATGCAGAGGGGGAGATTCTGGAAAGCAAGGCAAATTTAATCACACGGGACAGATCATCTCCTCTACCCTGTTGAAGAAAGCAGGGGTGCTATGCTGCCTGCTCTCAACTTTGGCACCTGGTACAATGTGGATTCTGGAGTCAAACAAGCCCTAATTCGTCTCAGATCTGACACATGGGCACTTAAGCTTTCTGAATGCATTTTCCCTTCTGTAGAACAAACTATTTAATAACAAATGTTATTTAATGATAGCATTTACTGAGCACTTATTATGTGCCAGGCACTACTGTAAGCACTTTCTCACTAAATCCTCACAGCAACTCTATGAAGTTTTTACCATTATTATCCATATTTTGCAAATAAGCTAGTAAATGGTGGGAACCATTACCCACCTCTTCCCTTCTTGGCTAACCAGGGTGGGTAAATCTTAACTAGTCTAAGGCCATCATGGGAATTCCATTCTCCTTACCAGTGGTTGGCCTAAGTATAGAGATGGGACTTAATTCTGGCCAGTGGTATGTGAGGGGAAATCTGAGGGTCTTCAAAAAGAGCTTTCCTCTCCCTTTTCACCTTTGGATGTTATGTGCAAACGTGCCATCTGGAGCTGCTCCAACTATTTTGCAAGGCTGAAGGTAGGAGCCAATAAATTGAAAGCAGCAGAGCAGAAAGTTGAAAGAACATCAGTCTTTGAGGTCACTGCAAAGCAGCCAAAAATTTTTTTTAATGTTTTATTTGTTTTTGAGAGAGAGAGAGAGAGAGTGTGAGCAGGGGAGGGTCAGAGAGAGAGGGAGACACAGAATCCGAAGACAGGCTCCAGGCTCTGAACTAGCTGTCAGCACAGAGCCCGACACGGGGCTCGAACCCACGAAACGTGAGATCATGACCTGAGCAGAAGTCGGATGCTTAACCGACTGAGCCACCCAGACGCCCCGCAAAGCAGCCAAATTACCCAACATAGAAACTGAAGGTATGTTATCTCTGAACCTCTGAAAGAAAAGGATTCCTAAATGTTTTGACATTCTATGTAGTGAATGTATACTACTGCATTTAAAAAAAATTTTTTTTAATGTTTTATTTATTTCTAGGAGAGAGAGAGAGAGACAGCGTGAGCAGGGGAGGGTCAGAGAGAGAGGGAGTGACAGACTCTGAAACAGGCTCCAGGCTCTGAGCTGGCAGTCAGCACAGAGCCCGACGCGGGGCTCGAACCCACAAACCGCGAGATCATGACCCAAGCGAAAGTCGGACGCTTAACCGACTAAGCCCCCAGGCGCCCCTATACTACTGCATTTTTATGTGTACTTTACATATACTACTTTTTGATGTTCCCAGTGTATGTATTTGTATATGTGTATACACACAACACACACACACACACACTTAATATAGATTGCATCACTGTGCTTTCAGACACAAGAAGGAAAGACCTAAGGGTGCCAACTTGCCTGAGGTTCCCAGCTAGTCAGTGTCAGAGCAGACATCACCATTCTGTAGTAAAGATGAAATGGACTGGTGTATACAGACGTCTTTCATTCCTGTGGCTCCGAAAAGCCATTGTCCCTACCCTCAAAGTAATCTGTAGACTGGTGGTTTACGGCACTTGCAAAAATAAACTCTTTTCGTATCTTCCATTATGGGAGGCATATCACTTTCCAAAAGGCCCCCACTGAGGTGAAGACAGTTGGTGATATGATCGTAGGGACTCTAACATGGTCACTTTCCCTCAGTAATTATCTCATGTACACACACACACACACACACACACATACATGCGCCCTTCTGATTTCCTGGGGCCTCTGAGATTCAGACCTGGCTTCCAGCATTGCTTCACCATGCAGTGTCCCTTGGAGCTGACTGTCCTTTGCCTCCGTGTAGATACCCAAGGAGCACTGCACTGAGTGTCTACCTCGCCACCAAAGGCTGGCAGTCTCAGATTCTGTAAAACAATAATCCAATGCCCATCTTTGTTAACTCCACAGATCTAAAGCACACGACGTAAAAGAATGGGAGGGACTATCTCATGCGACTTGGAAGCACACAGGCAGAAGCAGGTACTTAGACTCTGCCATACTCAATGTGTATATTGTAAGTAAATTATAAAAATGGTTTAAATGAAACTAACAATAGAACTCCCCTATGACCCAGCAATAGCACTGCTAGGAATTTACCCAAGGGATACAGGAGTGCTGAGGCATAGGGGCACATGTACCCCAATGTTCATAGCAGCACTCTCCACAATAGCTAAAACATGGAAAGAGCCTAAGTATCCATCAACGGACGAATGGATCAAGAAGATGTGGTTTATCTATACCATGGAATACTACATGGCAATGAGAAACAATGAAATCTGGCCATGTGTAGCAACATGGATGGACCTTGAGGGTGTTATGCTGAGCGAAATAAGTCAGGCAGAGAAGGACAAATATCATGTTTGCACGTAGAGGAGGATTAGGAGGAACTTAACGGAGGACTGTGGGGGAGAAGAAGGGGGGAAATGGTGGGGGAAAGGGAGAGGCAAACCATGAGAGACTCTTGAATGCTGAGAAACAAACTGAGGACTGATGGGTGTGGGGGGGAGGGGGGAGATGGGCATGGAGGAGGGCACCTGTGGGGATGAGCACTGGGTGTTATATGGAAACCAATTTGACAATAAACTGTTAAAAAAAAAAAAAAGGGGGGGAAGCCAAAAAAAAAAAAAAAAAAGGTTTAAATGTGTGGGTCCTTTGCAGCAGCACCCTCACTTCTAGGGAAAGACAACAAGTAAGCAAAGGTGATTTACTGTTAAGTTTACAAAACCAAAAAACTGGGGACAATCTAAATGTTCCTCAGTAGGGACTTGGATAAATATATTACAGTACATCCTCACAGTGGAATACTATACAGCCATTAACATCAATGAGGTAAAATAGACATAGAATGGTGTTACAGTGTGCTAGTTTTAAGAAACATTTAATAAAGTAATTTATATTGTCTCATTTTCATTAAAAATATCTGTACAAAGACATAGAAAAAGTTGAGGTGCAGTTATTAAAAAGGAATAAGTAGTGGTTATTTTGGTGCATTAAATTTTGGGATGATTTAAATTGCTTTTCTGTTTATCTTCTATTTTTACATGACACGAGGAATGACAGCGTCAACACGTGCTCCTCAAAAAAGAGCAGTCAATGTCTCAAGAGAAGAAAGCAGGGTCAGGTAGATAAGATGTCTGCTTTAACACTGCACGACCCTGGGTTCACTGGTAAGAAGGTGGTAGACTCTGTTCCACCATAACCCTGCCGTGATAGTAACGTGGCATGAAGAGGCAAGGGGCCCTCTCCTCCCAGGATTCCTTGAATGCCTTGGAAGGATATTCTTCCTAGTAGGTCTGACCACCTTCTTAGTTTGGACTCAAAGCTGGGAGATATCCAGGAGCAGCAGGAGCGCCAGGCAGATGATTGCTGGGATGCAGGTGCTCAGTGACTCTTTCAGAGATGCCAGAGTGAAGATAGCCCCTGGAATGGAAAGTGAGGTCCCTGAGGCTCCCTGCCCCTCTCAAGCTCAAGCCTTCCCATTCAACACCTCCCAACCACAGACAGACAGACACACACACACACACACACACACACACACACACACAGAGCCTAAACTAGCAGCTCTCCTCAATCTGTCCTCCCAAACAGAACCAGGAATCAGAAGCCTCTTGAACTAATGTAGCGCCTCTCAGAGGGTGAGAAACTGGAGCAATCCGCCAAATAGGGCAGAGAAGTAGGTAGATGGGCATTCTGGAACAACTTCTGATCCTCCTCCTTTCTTAATCCTAGTGGATGGAAGGAGGCCCAGGAGTTAGTGGTGGAGGTATGGGAAAGATCTGAAAATGAGGGAAGCCCCAGAGATAGAAAGCAAGCCCGGGGGAGGCATGGCAGTGGTGGCAGCAATGGTAACACAAGGCCAGGGGATCCAGAAGAGCTAAAGACGTCTGACCTTTGAGGCAGCACCTGTCTTGGTACATCAGCAGTTCCTGCAGGCAGAGCTGCTGTGAGGGGGTGCTCTACAACTGCCTGTCACAGGGAAATTCTCTGCCTTTCTGTTCAGGGGGCCCAGTTTCCTTGCTCTCTCTTCCCACCTGCCAGACACATAACTCCACGGGCAGCTGCTACTCCATCCCCTCCTCTCTAGGGTAGGGCTTAGGAGAGAAGAGTTGGGGCTTTGAGGTTATAACACATCCTTACAGTGGGAATACCCTGCAACCAACTGAACTGATGAGGTAGGAAGTACGTCTGACAAAAAAATCACATTCTTGTATATTAAGTCTTAAAAGCACCTGTCCTAGTCTGAAGGCCATGGAAACTACAGTAGAGAGAGCAAGGAGGGCTCCTGGTTTCAGAAAAGAAGGAAAGGAGGCAACAGTAAAGGGAACAGCCCGATCTTTCATGACCCTCTGCCGGAAGCCCCATTTCCCCAGCCCAGCTGCACACTCTTACCCATCATGAGCAGGGTCAAAAGCAAGTTACTGATCTCTTGCAGCATCGGTGGGCCCAGGACCAGCAGCAGCCCAGCCAGTAGTTCCAGCCAGCCCACAGCCTCTTGATAGCTCATGGAATCTGGCTGGTAGCCGAACACCTTCAACGGGAACACCTCAGCAAACTGCACAAACAGGGCGTTCTAGGGGCAGCAGGGAATGTCTGTCAGCCATACTCAACAAGGATCCACTGCCTGGGCACTCCACAGGGGCATTCTGTGCCTGTGCCCTCAAATCCCCCAGCAAAGGAACTACTATTCCAGGTCAGGTCCAGGGCTGAGGTCTGGAGAGGGGAGGCCCTCCCTGGGGGACTGAGTATTGGAATCAGGAAACAGGTTCACCCTCCGAGGAGAAGGGCTGGATGGTGGCGCAGAGATGGGCTGATTTTCTCAACAGGCTCTCAGCAGATTACAACCCAGCCCCAAATTCCAAGACCAGAAAGCTAGGCTTGCCAATGTTAGGAAGGCCACAGCTTCTCTTTCTTTCTGCCTGACCTGGTTTCTCCTGAGAATACTATGCTGGGAATCGTGTTCCAGGAGGTGGGGGTAAGGGTGGAAGGGTAGACTGTTGCTCTGTCTACAGATTTCACTCTGAATATGGTATGCTGAGCCTGGATCTCATTGCAGTAGACACAAGAGTAGTTAAGGAGGCGCAAAGAGACTCATTGTGCTGAGTCAGGCTCGGATCTGGGCCACGTGACAACTTCACCCTCGGCTCACTACCTTTTCCTCCATCTCCCCCCACTCCCACTTCAACACTACCTCCCCTACTCTCAGCTGCAAGGAAGAAACTCTAAGCTGTCTGGCTGTTGGTATGTATCCCCCCCCCCCCCGCCAAACAATCCACTACCCTAAACCAGGAAGGAAAAGCAGAACCCAGGCCTGGGAAACAGAGGCTGGCAGGGGTCTCCAGGTCTCGCTTATTTGAGGGGTGGGGGATTGGTGAGCATAAGGGCATGAAAGCTCTCCCGAGTCTGGAACGGGCCTGGAGGCGGAAGGACTTGTAGACTTCCCTCTGAAGCTCCCGGGAAAGGGTTCTCTAGATTCTGAGTTAGGGGAGTGTCTAGATTAGCTCCTGCTTCCTGACCTGCTGTGTAACCTTTAGCAGATACACTTCACCTTTAGGGCGAGTTTCCTACTCCACCAAGCGGGAATTAATAAACCCATTCCTCATGAACCTCCCAAGAACGCAAACAGGGGGAGGGGAAGGGGCAAGGGAGGGTGCTGGGTCTCCCCTTCCATTCCATCTTCCTCCCCCGGAGTCCCGGGCGCATTCCTCCTTCGGCCCTAGGCTTGCCCGGGGGCCCCCAGAACTCAGCTGGAAGACGTGCCCCTTCCGTCTAGGCAAGAGCCAGAGAACTCGGAGGAGCACCCCGGGAGGGCGCCTACGTCTCAAGTCGAGGCGCTATGCCCTGGCTCTAGCGCCATCTCGCCGTAAGGCAGGCGGGTCCGCGGGGCACCGGCTCGGGCGCAGGCAGGCGGGCCGGACGGGCGCCCGCGCTACGGCGTGGGTCACGGCCGGGGCCTCAGCACCGGCCCGCCGCCCACGCCCCGCCGCTCACCATCTGCTCGGACGTGGGAGCCGAGATCTGCTCCGAGAGCTTGGCCGCGCCGGTGAGCGCGAAGAAGCCGCCCAGCAGGACGCGGAGAGCGGCGAGCCAGAGCGCCATGGCCGCGCAGGCTCTCCCGGAGGGAAGGAAAAGGAAAGGGAGGGGAGAGGAGAGGAGCGGAGAGTTGGAGAGGCCCTGCCGAAACCCGCCCCCTGCCGCCCGCTGGGTTCCTCCCTCCCCAGGGCGGCCTGAAGACTGGCGCCAGAACCTCCCGTTCCTCGCCCACCCATCCCAGACTGTTGCCACCCTCTTTTGTGGCCCTCACCTGTTGCGGAAGTAGACAGCCTTCAGGCAGGGCATCCCCATCTCTCAGATGGGGGCACTGAAGCCCACTGGCTCAACTGACTGGATGAACCCCTTTGAATTCAAGGGACGTCTCTTGTCTCCTAATCAGTATGGACAGAGTAAGGTCTGACAGGAGCATCCATCTACACGTGCCTTGGAGAAGACCGGGTTTCGTTCCTTCCCGAGCCACCCTGGCTTTGGGATGTGAGTTGCCACCTAACCTCCTCGGGACTATTTGCGGATAAGCCTGTTCTCCTGAGGAACAGGCCTAGCACAATGCCTGGCACCTGTAAGAGCTCAAACGTTATTTGTAAATTAGTAAGTTATGAAATCATTAGTAATAAATCAGTAACACGTAGTTACTAATTGTTTTCCATCTTTATAATATATTTCTCCTGGGGCGCCTGGGTGGCTTAGTCGGTTAAGCGTCCGACTTTTGCTTAGGTCATGATCTCGCGGTTCGTGGGTTCCAGCCCCGCATTAGGCTCTGTGCTGACTGCAAGCTCAGAGCCTGAAGCCTATTTCAGAGTCTGTGTCTCCCTCTCTCTCTGACCCTCCCCTGCTCATGCTGTCTCTCTCTCTCTCTCTCCTAGAAATAAATAAAAATATTTAAAAAAATATATATTTCATCTTAAATTTCTCTCAGTTGAATTTAAAATATAAAAAGTGTTTGAAAATTCAGACACTTGCAGCAATGGGAAGAGAGACTTGCACTAACAAAATCCTACAGGCCGCTCCTGGCCCATATGCAATTACCTAGAAATCAGTTTAGACCTGGATGGACAAACTGTGGGCCAAAGTTAGTCAGCTGTCTGCTTTTTTCCACTCCCTCCCCCTCTCCCTCCCCAGCTATCAATGTTTGTTTACAACATTGTTTACATTTTTTAACGATAAAAATTTTAAGGCAGCTTTCATGACACGTGAGAACTATATGAAATTATTTCAATGTTCATAAATAAAGTTTTATTGAAACACAGCCACACTCGTTTGCATAGTGCCTACAGCTGCTTGTGTGCTGCAAACCCAAAATTTAGTACATGGCCTGCAAAACCTAAAGCATTCACTGTCTGACCTTTTATGCAAAAAGTGTGCCAAGCCCTGATCTAGAGAGCCAGAGAAACCCCTACGAGGGGTCTCGAACTCTCCTGCAGCTTCTACTGATTAGCCAGGCCGCTTAGATCTTTGTTTTCTACCTACCCACAACCTGCTGGGGTGGGTGGCTGCCTGGCTGAAGACTGCAATGTCCCATGTGCTTCTAAAGGCCAAGCAGATTAACATCCAGGTGTGCTAATACATTATAAACAGGCTTTTTGTGGCCTTCACTTTTGCCCCTAATCAAGATGATCCAATCAATCAAATAGCTAAATTCTCTGACTTGGACTATTAAAATTATAATATATAACTAGGCATAGATGCAATTATTAAATTCCTCAAAAAAAGAAAAATTATTAAAACACGTAATCACTGAAAACACATATCCACATTAGGAAATTATATTTTAGGATACTTGTAAAAAATTTAACACAAAATTATAGACTTTGATAATTAGCAACACCCATGTTACTATTCTTTCTCCTTTACTAATTTTTCTATCCTTGGAATTAAAGATGTGACTGCAAGTCTTAGAGCAGGACCAGAAACCAACAGATTTCTTTGTTTTGACTCAGTCAAAGCGGAAAATGTAGCATCACATAAATAAATAGTTGAAAAAGGCAATAAAAACTTCATTGCCTTTTCATGAAGTTCTGGGTAATTTGTCTTTGCATTTATCCAAAACTGAGTTACAGACATTGACTTAAATACAGACTGTAATTCCAAATCTGAAGATAACTGTACTAGTTTTTCTTCTTCGAAGTCCGTGAGATTAGTATTTTTGTAATTCATAAAAGGATTAATTATCCACAAATTTCCTGAACGCAAGTCTTCTTCTGGTGGGTAACAGTCATTGAACATTTGACAAAGTCCTTCCAGGTGCTCAAAAATAATGCTTGCAATGCCTCTCATATTTAAGTCTGATGAGTTTAAGAATTCGGAAAATGAAGGGAACATATCATAATCATTCTCCTGTGTGCGCTTCAACCACATTTTTAACTTTTCCTTAAATATATCCATTTTATTATACAAATTGAAGAGAGTAGTCATAGTTCCTCGAAGACTTAAGTTGAGTTCATTTATGAGTGAGAAAATATCTGATAAATAGGCCAGCTTTGCAACCCATTCCTCATCAAGAAAATACTTGGCCAAATCTGAATGCTTTTGGTTTAAAAAATTTTCAATTTCATGTCGTAATTCAAATAATCTTGTTAAAATTCTCCCTCTTGAAATCCAACGTACTTCAGCATGAAGTGATAGATTCACATGCTCAGACCCCATTTCTTCATACAAAATTGTTAACATTCGTGAATCTGATGCATTGCTCTTTATAAAACTTAAAATTTGTGCTGACTGCAAAAGAATTTTATGTAAGCATGGAGACAACTTTTCTGCTGCTAAATGTTCACGGTGAATAAAACAGTGTGTAAATGCCACTGTATTCGTGGCAATTTCTTGAATTTTTGCCCTTAAACCAGAACACCTGCCAGTCATGCTTGCAGCCCCATCGGTGCAGAGACCAACACAATGTTTCCAATTCAGAGACTTACTATCAATATATTTATTTATTAGGTCAAATATTTCAAAACCAGTAATTTGAGAAGGCATTTCAATGCAACACAGTAATTCTTCTTTTATATCACTGCAATCATAATCAATGAAACGAATATAGCACAAAAGAAGGGTGATATTTGAGATTTCCGATGATTCATCTACTTGAAGGGCAAACCACTTTGATTTTCTGACTTTTTGAATCAGCTGATCTTCAATGTCTGCAGACAACTCATCAATCCTGTGTCCAATCGTGTTATTAGAAAGAGGAATGGTTTTCATTTTGTCTCCAGCACTTGAACCCAAAACTTCTGAACACATTTCTACTAAATACGGTTTAATTAATTCTTCAGCGATGGAGAATGGCTTCTTGCTGGCAGCAATTTGGAAAGCAATTAAATAAGAAGCTTTCACAAGTGACTTTTCAACCAGTAAACACTTTTTTAAAGAACTATTTTGACATTCCATTTCAAGAGATTTTTGTTCAAAAAAATCTACTGGTTTGTTTTCTAATTCTGAGTGTTTTGTCTTCAAATGATGAGAAAGATTTGCTGGCTTCATGTTTTCAGTAGATAAGATTTCTCCACAAATGACACATTGTGGCCTTGGTGAACTTTCTTTTGATCCTGGACAGATAATAAAACCAACTTTTAAATATTCCGCATCATAAGTCTGGAAAAAACCTATTCTTTTTTTCTTTGCAGGTGGAGAATCAAGTTCCGCATCATTTTTCTCATTAGGCATAGGTAAATCTGAATGAAATATTTGAATCACTGTTATTTTCAAGAAGAAATAAGCAATAATCTTTGTTTTCCCCCACACATTTAAAATTTATCTTTTTTTACTATATTTGTCAAAAGAATACACTAAAATGGAAACACAACCCACGATACTTTCATGGTGCCTTTATTAAAAACTGAATTTCTCCTTGCCCAAAACTTGGCCACTGACTAGACCAAAACTAGGCTGTAATACATGAACTAGGAATGCTATGTATTCCACAGATTACTGGAATTAGGGCTGAAATCCACAGGATCCATCAAATTAAGAATAAATTATTTTACTTTTTTGAATTTCAGAAAAAGAGAAAACATTTTTTTAAAAAGTTAACATTTGGTGAATCTAAATGAAGGATATATTAATGTTCACTGAGCCACATTTCCAATCATCCTGAATTTTGAAATTTTTTCAAAATTAAAGTTGAAGGAAAAAGGAAGGGTTAATTTGTAGTTTTAATACCCAGTGTCAATGAGGGTAAAGAGAAATGGGTGTTCTCAAACACTGATGTAATTTTCAATTTTGCAACACATATCAAAAGCCTTAAAAATCTATGATAGCTTTTGACTCTGAAATTCTGCTACTTAGGATTTATCCTAAAGACCTAATTAGACAAGTGAACAAAGATCCATTTACACAACTTAACTGAATACTGTTTATAACATTAAGTAACTAAAAGCGATCTAAATGTCAATCTTAGGGGGATGGATAGGTACATACATTGGAATCTATGCATCCACTAAAAATCTCAATGTGTATTTAAATTTATGTTGACATTAAATATTTCTGATGAGCAATGTCAAAGGAAAAAGTAGTTCAAAACAGTATATCTTAAACAATCGTATTTAATCTAGAAATTTTTAAAAAATGTATAAGGACACACATACCTATACATATAGATGTCCACAGATCCTTTACTACCTTCCACATGTGAATGTATACAGAATATAAATTCATGTACACAGAGTATATCATTTTAACAGGAATATAAAACAATCAAATTTACTTTGGAAGGAAAACATGATTTTCCTGGACTCCTACTAAAAGAAAGGCACCCTACAGAAAAACTCAAGATTTGTTGACAGATTATACTTTTATGTAAACTATATATATTCTGTATAGTAAAAATATCATTAAAAACAAAAATCAAAAAATGCTTTGGGCAAAGTAGGCTATGCAAGTAACTGAAAACATAAGGGTAGTGGCAGTTAACATGGATTGGGGCAGCAATAGTTTATAGCCTTTCCAAGTATTGAGCCCAAGTCATTTTCCTGATCACCAACACCTCAGACACCGTTATACTTTTAGTAAATGACAAATCAATTCACAGTGTTTTTAAAAAGAAGAACTAAGGTTAA